GTGGTAAGTTCGTAGATACTTACTTGTGTTATATACTCGTAAGAGTGTAGTAAAAAGTTTATTAGTGTCGAAGGAAAAGGAATTAAAACGAATACTGTATGGATGTAGGGCTTGATTGTATTTGCAAATATGTGAAACACAAAACTGGCTACTGGTTTTTATGTTTTACTATATTCTTCTTCTTTTTTAATAGCGTAGAAACCACTTACGCGGTTATAGCCGAGTTAGCAACAGCTCACCAGTCGTTTCATCTTTTCGCAAGGTGGTGCCAATTCGAGATTCCAATCGATGCCAGATCCTTCTCTACCTGGTCTTTCCAATGGAGTGGAGCAGATTTACCATCTACTTTAAAATTTTTGAAAGCTAGATGCAAGACTGCATAAAAAAATCAAATAATGATATATTTAATCTAAAATTCTTTAAGCCCATCAGTCTCTCCTCCTTCTCATTAAAAGCTTTGGATAGTGATGGACTAGTATGTAAGGAAACAATTGAAGAATATCGAAGAAGGAGCAAAAAAGGCATCAATTGCCTTTTACTGCTGTAGAAGAGCCATTGGCAAAAGGTGGGGTCTCTCGCCGAAAGCGCTTCTTTGACTCTATGCCACTGTAGTCAAGCCCATTAATATTTGTGAAGTCTTTATGTGGTGAAGAGCTCTAGGAAAGACCACATTGCAAGGAAACTCGAGAACCTTCAAAGGGCGACGCTCATTAGCATGTAGGGTACAGTACGGTCGACTTTAACCATGACACTTAACGCCGTTTTGAACAAAGTATCCGTAGACATCACCGGAATGTGCATGGCTGGGAAAGTGGCTATCGACTGAAAGAATCTGGATTCTTAAAAGAACACGTACCTAAACATGCGGACATCCTCACCCACTTTGACTTCATACCGGATTACTTAGATCATGGAGTCGCTAAGCCGAACTCAAGCGACTCCGAAGAGGTAGTTGTGGGGGGCAAAGAGCCTTCTTTACGGATGGCTCGAATCTTGGGGCGAAGGTTGGTTAACAGATATATTTACATCTCCGAAAGTAATGTAAAAATGCCAGTTGCACGATAGGTAAATAGCGAATGCTATAATATAAGCAAAAAAGTGAAAAATGGTATCGATTTCCCGCTGAAAACAATGAAAAAGTAAGTACCTCCCAGTTTGTGGCACGTTTCTTTAAAAGCGCTTGCGGTAATGTGAGTGGAACAGGGCGCCAAAAGATGGCCGAGAGAGATGCCAAAGCAATTTTCACGTAGCTAACTAAATTGAAAAGTAGTAATATATAAGTAGTATATACATACATTTATATAAATGGTTGCATGTATCCAGAAATAGCAATCGCAGCGTTTATCTTTTATCGCAACAACGTTTTCGCTCGCAACAAATAACTATTACCATGGCACTGACACGAGAGCCATATGCATAGGAACAACATGTGCATAGATGCTGATTCATATATGTGACTGTGTGTGTGTTTTGGCAAACCCTATAAAAGCAATTGTTAATTTAACTGTAATCACGCCAATATTTTTCATTTCATCGCCAATGGCTTTTCAATTTTTCAATTGTAATGGTTAAAAGGAAGCCAACAACATAGCAATAATATCGGCGTTGCAAAAACGAAATGCAACACTGTATATGTGTATGCGTGTGTGTGCACACAACTAATATTTGTAATCAATTTGAAGATCTCCGCGCTGATGCGTTGGGCTGGCAGCAGATTGCTGTCTGCTATGACTTTGCAAACCAGCTAGCAGCAGTTGTTGCTGTTGTGGTTAGTTTTACTTTTTTCGATATCTGCTTGCAGCACTCAACAATGGCATAACAATCAAAGTATTGTTTAAAAACGATTTTTCTTTGTTAACAAAGCCGGCAAACCGCAAGAGTTGGTGTGGTGGTCAAGTAAAACAATAACAAAGTGTATGCAAACGGAGAGGAACCAGGCGAGGCAGCGCCTGTGCACTGTGGTTTAGTGGGTTGAATCGAATGTGAATAGGATGTTAACAGGAAAGAGTGAATTCTTTAAGCTCGTGATGAAAGATTAAGGATCGTCAAAGATTTTGTTATTTATGAAACAAACTGTAATATATTAAATTATTTTAGCTTATTTTCTATTGAAGTAAATGATAGTAAAAAGGCAAATAAAGTCTTTGTTTTAAAAAGCCTATTTTTAGGCGTGGATAGTTTTAAAATGTCCATTAATACAATATTATATAATTTATTTGCACACTCACATCCTTTTTTTTAATATTTTCGAAATCTAGTATTATATAAATAATTTGCGCATTCATTTTGTTTTTCTTTTTTATCTAGGTTCTTCAATCTTCATAACTATATAACAGGTTCGTAACTTTGCTAAGTATTATTTTTAAATAATATTCAACAGCACTTCAAAATGTAGACAAGAAATATTTCTTTTAATTTTTCTGGTAATTAGAAAGAATGAAAGAGAAATAATAGAATTAAACTTTGTCGAAAATAATATTCTCAGAATAAGCGCAATTGTAAGTTTTTATTGATTCATAATGTAAATTAGATTGAGCCATTTAATCTGTGCTTATGCTTTGACTTTATACTTTACAGCACGATATTTTTCTTAAGATTGCGAAATAAACCTTTATAATTAATATATTTAAATAAACCTCGCACTTCACTTGGATTGCATCTTCACTAAAAAAGGCTTACTTTTACACAACATGCCTAAATGTAGGCAATATGATTACAGAAAAAAATTATCAAAACTCTTAAGACGAACTAAGAATAGTTGAATACTGTTTGTTTCGGTCATTTGCGGAAACTAAATATAACGCTGTCGATAATTTCGATTATTCATTGCATCACAGTAACAGCATTGCTGTTGTTTCGTAGAACTGTCTTGCTGGTTTTTGATTCTGAAAGTATTTCCGCTTAGTTATGTCTATAGAAATTTTTCGACAATGCTGAAATTTTAACTTTTTGTCAGACATTATAGTACAAAGCGCCTAAATGCAGATCTTCATACTGAAAATTAATTGAGGAAACAATTTTGAAGAATGTAGTAAAAAACTGCTAAAAGTATAGTAACTGTACCCTCTTCTACAATAAATTATGTCAATAAAGATTAATTTTGTAGATATCGAGAAGTTATATTTTGAGATTTCGATTGAGATGTTTCGCTGATATCTTACTATAAGTATCTTTCGCAATTTTGAACCCGAACATATAGTACATGTTCATGTCAGCTAACTTATATTTAAGGTCAAACAATTCCGAGGCCAAAAATTCACATATGAGCATTATACACTGTGTTATAGTCCTAAAAAAGACAAAGCTTTGAATACTTAAATAGCTGTAGGACATGAAAGCAACAACAACAAAGGCGCTGTGTGGCTGGATACTTTTAATGAGTTTTATTTTTATTCGCCTTCAACTGCCACAGTAAAATGACAGGCGCATAAAAGTAAATTGATCTGCTTTTGCTATCGCAACACAATCGCCGCAGCGAAGCAACAAACCTTAACACAACAACGAGCAGCAAGAACACTTTAATAATAGTGGCAGCGGTGGCATGCACGTATCTACAACATACGAATCATAGTTGCAACATACAACACTTGGCAGCTTGCAACACGATATGCAGGCGACAAGTAACACAAGAAAAAATCCACGTAGATGAGTGTGCAAATGCAATTGCATCGAATTGGTAGACGCCTTTAAATGGCCTCACGTGCAACCTAATATGTACAGCACTCGTGCTCTGCTGTAGTACGAGTATAACCAACTACTAGCAACGCATCATCATCATCAGCGTATATAAACGTTTATGTTGCGATATTTTACCCCGCTCTTATACATTCGCCTTGCACCTTGTTGTTTTTGTACTTTTTGTTCTTTTACTTGTTGAAATAGTAATGAAACTGATTCATTTATTGGAGCCTAATGTAGTGGTAAGGCGGTTGGTGCAGCTCAGCAACTCGTGCAACACAACTTATGAAATGGACCGACAAGTAGCTGTTGCTGTATTGTTGTTTTTATTGTTGCACATTATCGCAAATAACAAATAAGCGATATGTGCAATTGCTGCATGAAATTGCTCCGGTTGAAAATAGCCGCGTTGATTTTGTGCGATAATTTTTGTATCGAGCCTTTTTGTGGTGCGTCCACCAGGGCGTATACTCAACTTTTTCCAATTACAAAAGCGATAAACTCTAAACGCGTGGCTGGAAAATTATACACCTTTTATGATTATACACTTGATTATTACTATTATGAAAAGTGTTGTTTGACCACAACTTGCCACTAAGTAAATCCGGAGCTTCTGCAACTAAGATGCAAGGTGGCTGCTGTCCACCTGTGGTGTTATCGCACACAGGTGTGTGCTGGTATATTTCTATGCCATTTTGATTAATGATGCTTGTTAGTTCTACAAAAAATGTGGCGTGTATTTGCAAATAACTATTAGAGTCTTAGCGACAAAAGAAAAAATTAAAACTCGCCATAAAACAAGCACACGATTTATAGATATTTGTGCTGTGAAATGCAAGCGCTGTTCTTCGCATAATGTGATGAAGAAAAATGACAGTCATTTAATCATATTACCACGGGAGTTGGCTCATCAGTGCGAACACAACAGACTGTGGGTTCCGTTTTGGTGCCGGTGGGTAGAATTCGCTTGTAAATTTAATTAACGCTGCAGGTCGGCAGAAATAAATAAAGGTTGAGCAAATATACATGCTGAAAACTGGAATAAGCATACGATTATATCTATATTTATGGCAATAATAACCCGAGCAGCATTAGAGCAGCTTTTGAAGACGCTGGATGTAAATTTAGTAAATTTTATCCCAATAAAATCCTTTGCACCAGTAAACGATAAGAATGAGAGGCGTCTAAGGTGGAAGTGCTATATCAACTTGCTTCTTATGTTACCATGTGCTGGACCAACTTATAGCAAGTGTAAATAAATTCATTTTTGATGTAACTTCTATTTTTATGAAAACAAAAAAAATTCATAATTGTCTACTTACAATCACCACGACTCTCTTCTATATCCAATATAATGTTCGTTTGTCCCGTTTCAACTTCGCACATCTGTGATTTGCCCAAAATACCCGCAATACGTTGACAACTAAGCAACAGCAAGAACAATAATGAGCGCGCTGTGCTTGCTGCTGCACATCGACTCAAAGTGTGCGGCGCTGACATTGTGTGGCTAAAATGCAAAATAAAATAAAAAAAAAGAGTTATAAATAAATATTTTCGTAAAAAAGATATTAAATTAAATAGTATAAATGACAAGAACTGCAAAAGATATATGCGAAGCGAAAAAGTGTAAAAGAAATTAGTTGCATATTTCTTTTACACTTTTTCGACGAAATAATGTGTGGGGGAAGTAGGAAGAGGATATATAGTTGTTGTTGTTGTTAAATTCAAATTGAACTAATTTTCGAAAATATTGGGAAATAATTATTTTTGAGTTACAAAAAGAGTGAAAAAATTATCTTTTGTGCGATATTAGAATCATTTGTAGTATTTTTGTTACAGATTGGTTGATCTTAAAGCTCATGTTACAGTCCGAAATATAACTTGTTAAATTGAAACTGTTTAGCATAAACTTCATTTCCATCGAAAAGTGGAAAAGAGTGAGATAAAGATTAAAGAGTTAAGCTATTAGCAAAATATTTCTGGTCTCAATTTATTGTTATTCTTTTTTTATATCACAGATTTGGAAACGTTTTTAACAATGCTAGTCTAAATATTATGAATAAATATGTTGAACGATTAAGTGTTAATTCTTAAACAATTTGTTGATGAAATAATAAAATCGCTTATATATCAACCTGTTTATTTTGTAAGCAAGTTCACGCCTTGAAAATTCTTGCCCTAGAAAACATGCAAAGAATATTGAAAAAATATCTTTTATCGTTTTCATGTGTATTTTGTGGAATATTTTCATGCACTTTCAAGGACAACATTCGCCATTCGCCTGTTAAGTGCGGTTGCAAGTTGAGTGAATTTTCAAGTACAAATCAATAAAGTAAGTTTCCATTTATTGCAATTCTAGCTCGCATATGCAAAACTGGTTAGTGCTTGAGAAATTTTTTTTGTATTCTTTTTGTTTGAGTTGTGTCTTTTGGGTTCTTTGGAGTTCATATATAGTTAACTGCTTAATGTTGTAAACTACTTTACAAACAATTAAGAACATGTTGCACGAATTATTTACGGCAACTACGTAAATTATAAACCCTGTCAACGGCGAAAAACGGTCTGAAATAAACCATAACACACACTATGCACGGCCAGCAACGACTAACTTTTAGGTTATGCTAACCGGTTGCGTATCTAAATAATTTTTTGGTATATGTACATATGTAAACGCATACAAAGTAAAATAATAGAAACAAATATTTTAAAACAAAAAAAAAAAAAATAAAAAAATAAAAATTAAAATAAAATTGGTTGTCGACTGGCGTTCTTATGATTCTCATTAACCGCGAAACATTTCTATTGACTTCATTCATTTCAAATTGTTTTTCAACGCAAAATAAGTGCGCGTGTTTTTTATTGTATTTTTCAAAAGAAATATGTTTGAACACACTGTATTTGAGCACTTATTAATTAAGATTTTAAATTTTGCAGGTTGTCTATTTAAGATTTTAAAAAATTTTTGTGATTTAATGTTTTTTTCAGATTTTTCTGGTTGATTTTTTAAATACTTTTTTAATATATTTTTTTGTTTTTTTTTCAATTTCATTTTTGTTTTTTATTTATTTATTTTTTCTTAATTTTATTTTCTTCTTAATCTACACTTTACTTCCCTCCTTCTTCTTATTTTCCAGTTCGTTATTGTCAGCTGCCTTGCATTTGCATTTATGCAACTTCATCCATGAAACGGTGAATTCAAAGGCATTTTTTTGCGCTGTTAAAGCCGTTCAAAGCGGCGGCAGGGTTGCATCGCTAATCGTTAATGCCACTCAGCGCGCATTGCAATGCCAATGTTGCTGTTTTGTTGTTATTTGCAACGTGTTATTGTTTTTGCTGTTGCATGCTGCTACCTACTGCAAAAAGTTATTTGTATTCAATGATATGCCACACCGAATATGGTCAAGAGTGGCAACCCATTTTGGGTGCATAAATGCGACTGCGGTGCATAAGCAGCGTCTTCTACAATGTTTTGACAAAAACAAGAGCAAGAAAACAATAAAAATGTTACTGGTTTAAATTTAATAATCTATATGAAAGTATCCCGGAGTGTGTGTTGGTCTAGAAAGGCTTCAAAGTGTGGCTGGTGGCTTGTGGCAAAAGTGGGGAAAAGCAGCGCGGAGTTTAAGAAAGTTAAAAATTTCTGACAATTAAGGGTTTTTGTACTATTTATTAAGAGTTCACACAAAACTACACACAACCAAAAGTTCGTTGCTTTTCACATTTTTAATTTTTTGTTTAAAAGTTTGCAATAGATTTTAGCAATAGAGCCACATATCAGTGACTCTTAGAAATAAAAATAAAAGCGGCCCAGATGTAGGCAACAATTTCAACTTAATTTACTTAGGCGAGAAGTGAATCCGTGTGCGATAAATAAAACGTAAAAGTCACAAATTAATTGAAGTCCAAATGAAGAAATAGTTATTTTAGAACTAGTTACAAACTAGGCATACACGAATTATTTTCGGTACTAGTAATATTTGGAACAGTTAGCTACTAGTTACATAGAAAACAAACTTAACATATTCAAACTTATTCCACGTGCATATGAACGATTGTTTTTGGTGTATAATTTAAGCAATAGTTACTTTTAAACTATTTACAAACGAATACATTTGGTACAAGTCACTTTTGGATCAGTTAAGAAGTAGTAACATAAAAAAAATTGAACATATTTTGAGTTTATTTTACTGGAGTGCACACATGCAACCACATGTATAAATGAAGACCCTCATCAGTTCCTTATTTTACGAGTGTGTCGACATAAATCACGAAGAAAAAGCATTACATCGGCAATCAACTGCAGTTACTCGCAAAGCAAAGCAAGCAGCCTACCGAAGTTGCCACAAATACAATGTTGCTGCAGCGAGGATTTACCATGGCAATTACGGTATCTGCTGCAAAATCAAGCGCAAACAGCTGAAATGTTAGAGCAGAATAAGGGGGAAGAGCTAGGAGATTGAGGAGCTTAAAAGAAGCAATAATAACACAAACAACATTAACAACAATTTAAGGCAACGAAAGATAAAAAAACAAAACGAGTGGCGGATGTTGTATGAACTGTGGCAGCGTGCGGCAGCCAATGCTACCACATACAAAAACCAAAGAAAAGTGAACAAAAAAGCAAACGAGCATGTGCAGCCAAAGTGGCACAAAAATGAAGGGCGCGAGACACAGCAATTGCGGCATCCTGTTTTGGCCGACATCAGAGCCACCGAGCGCTAAAAAGCAGCCAGCAAATGGCAATAATTGCCACTGTTTCACTAACTGTTACGTCTTTCTATCGTCTGATTTTTGGTCTGCTTCCTTTTGGCAGCGAATCGCCTGTGCAACATAACAGTGCCAAAGCGCACATAACGGTCTCCAACGACTTCACTGACTCCTGCTTTGCCACTGTCTCGTTGTATGAGATGATGTTGTTGTTGTGGTGCCGATGGCTTGACTGCTGTCTGCTACACCTGACCAATCGACACTCACTCGTGCAGCCGTGCACGCCGTTGCATCTTGCATGTACGGCCTGTCAGCCTGTCATCATCAGCAGTAGCAGCAGAATAAAGAATGTGAAAGAAAGCGTTTGAAAGTCTGGGTTGCGACAGCAAGAATATCAGAAAATGTACGGAAAACACCACAGTGAACTAAATTGAGCATAGAGTGTGGAGAACGAGCGGAGAGTTGCGGCTGCTGCTGTTGCGGCGACATTCACCATCGGTGCTGGCGATGTGTGGCAAGCGGCATGCAACACGTTTAGCGAAAACGAGGCAGCGCGAGATAAAGTTGCACTTAGATTAAAATCTTAGAATTGCAGATTTTTTAATTGTTCGCGCAAAATGTTTAGAAAGTATTAAATAGGCTAGGGGTTAGCTGATATATTTGTTGGGAACTTTTTGGAGTAGTGTCTAGTAAGAATATTCTTCGTCTAATAGGCTTTTAGTTTCAGAGCAGTTAGAAATGGATTGAAGGTTTTTTTTCGCAAACAGCACAGGATGATGAAATTAGTTTTTTTTTTTATTTAAAGGTACCTGAGTTCTAGAATATTAAGAACACAATCGCTTGGTACTCTGAAAAATAGGGTTTTAAAATCTCTAAGAAAATCTCTCTCTAAGCATGATCTCCTAAGGTGAAGGTCCTCCGTTTAACATTTATCTATTTTTTTCTTAGTATCATTAAGAATAATTCAAATCTCGCTTCTAACTACTTGAAAAAGAAAAGATCTCGTTTCATAGATTTTATAGGAAATGCATGATTGATCATGTGCTGCCAGACTTTTTAAGTAGCTGGTATAGTTTGTTCGATTCGTTACTCTCAAAATCCTTGATGAATAGTTATTGAATATTTAGAAAATCGTATTTTTCTTGACATTTTAATTTCAAAACCCACAAATAACTTTTCGTCAAATTCAAATATTTTAATTTTGTATTATTTGAAATTTCTTTCACACTTTTCATTTTGCTAATTTTTTCAAGAATCTAAGAATATCAATATTCGTTTTATCTAGGCCATGGTGACCCCAAATTTTATGCATCTATCAATTATTTTAAAAGATTTCCCAAGCGAAGTCTCCTCATCCATAAGTGTTATCTACCTACTATGCCACCTTATTATTTAATAAATTTGGTTTACACAATCTCGCATCCCATTTCTTAACTGTTGTGCCACTTCTGCTGTTCACCGTTGATTTATGAAAAGTTGCACGTAACACAGACTTGCGGTTGGCTTCCCGTTGCAGCAGCTTAACGCAAGCAAAGCCAAAAGGCAAAGAAGATGGTTTGTATGTAAGTTTTTGTTCTTGTTCTTTGTTTTTATGTTAAGTTCTACAGTTTCAAGATAGAGGCTTGTAATTAAATGCTGTGGTTTGTTAGAAATGATTTAACATTGGAGGGGTACAAATAAGATGCAATAAAGATTGTGTGTTTTTATGAGTTGCAACATGTTGCAATTGTGTGCGTGTGCGAAACAAGCTATTATTGGACATGAAAAAAGAATATGAAAAATGAAATGAATTGGGAAAAG